GGACTATAGACATATGCCACCATGCCAGGCTTATTTATTTTTTATTTATATATTTTTTAGAGACAAGGTCTCACTATGTTGCCCAGGTTGGTCTGGAACTCCTGGGCTCAATCAATCCTCCCACTCAGCCTCCTGAGTTGCTGGGATTACAGGCGTGAGGCACCACACTCAGCTTAGCCTTTTCAATCTGATGAGTCCTTTCCCGGAGGACAGATACAACCAACAGTGGGAAACAGCTCTGGCTTGAGTGTTCTCCCGGAAGATGTGTCCTGTTGCCCTCCCATTCCCAGCTATCTTATCCCGAGCTCCTCAGTCTGCGTCCTGGCCTTTTTGTACGGAAAACCCAGTTGGAGAGCCTTCCACCCATGGACCCAGTGGCTCCTCCTCTCCCACTCGAGTCTCAATGGAGGGCGTCCTTCATCGTATTCTCCACGTGACTCCAGGCGAAGGACAGGTGTTCTACTAGGCAGATGGGGCCCAGGTATCCAGGCCAGGAGAGAAAGGTGGTATTCAAGCCACCTAATCTGGTGAGAGTGGTTCCCAGGCCTGCTCTCTCCCCTCCTGCTTCACGTCACACGTCACACCTCTCTGACTTTCTGTGGAGTTGAGGACTGCAGTGGCAGGATGTCAGATGGAGCTGTTGTATTCATCAAACCTGTATTAAACACCTGCTCTGGACCAGGCACTGTGCTGGGCTCTGTGGACACAGATGAAGCAGACATGGCCCCTGAGGGAGGTCTTCCTCACCCCCTAAGCATGGGGCCAGGCTTCTGAGGAAATGAGTTCTGGGGCGAGCCCTGGGAGCCAATGACTGGCTTGTTTGCTTCCACCACTGAAAGGTGGTCCATTCAGTTCCAAGCTCTGGCCTTGAAGTCCCCTCCCTCCCATGGTCTCAGCACCTGAGGTCTCAGCTTGCCTCATATTTGAGGCTCCCTGCACCTGGCACACAGCTGGGACCTGGCAGAGTGAAGGAGCTACACTTCTGAGACCTGCCTTTCTCTGCTGGTCTCAAAATTGCTGTTGGGTCTCTGGGTGACAGCCTGCTTCTTGGAGGCTGTTAAATGAAATCCCAGACAAGCTATAAAAACTGTAGCATAGCATATGGGGTGCAGGAGAATATGGGGTTTGTCAGATAGGCATTGACCTTATAGTTACACACAGGTACCAAGTCAGGTCTGCCTCCCCATCGGAAATTCTATGCTCTGGAGAAATACCACTGGGTCCCTCTCTAACAAGGACCCAGCTGACAGCTGGCTGGCAGAATGCTGCCCTTTCCCTTCCTCAAATAATGATTCAATCATCTAAACCGGGCTCCTCTCTGGGGGGTTGCTGAACCTGGAGGGCAGGTTCCTCTCAAGGTTCACATCCAGTTAAGGGAATGGATTTGGGGGGCTCTTTTTAACATCACCACCACCACCATGTAATTAGCAAGCATGTTTTTGTGGGGCAGGTACTAGTTTGTGACTTTACGTACTTATTTCCCATTCAATTCTCATGGCAACCCTGAGACACAGACATTATCACCCTAATCCTACAGATGAGGAAATTGGAGCTCAGATAAGGAATTTAGGAATTTTCTCAAGGTCACATACCTAGAAAGTGGATGCAATAGCCTTTCAGCACAAGTCTGTCTGGTTCCAAGGCTTGTGCTATTGTCGCTATGATATGCTGCCACTATAAAAGTCACCATTTACTGATCACCTAATATGTACCAAGCCCTGGGCTAGGCGCTTTATTTTAGTTAATCCTTTCAACAGTTTTCTTGAAACAGTTACCATTATTGCCAATTTATAACTGGAGGCACCTGCGCAAAGGTTAAATCATTTCCCTGAGGTCACATACCGCTAGAGAGAGGTAAAGTCAGGATTGAAACTCAGGATACTTTCTATGATACCACGCTCCCTCCTATGCAAGGCAGGAAGGAAGGCAGCAACTCAAACTTCATAGCTGATGTCAGTTTATCCCAAGTGTCAAGTAAACACCGCACTACCAGCCCAAGCTAATGGAATACCAAGTAGGTAGTCTAGTGAGAAAAGCATCTGCTGCCTCATGTTTCCAGGTTTCTGGTCACTTGGGCTTATTTTACATAAAAATCTGTCTGGGGATCCTTCCTCATAGACAGCTGTTTCTTCTGAATCTAGCTCAGGAGGGAGCAGGGACATAATGATTTGAACAAATTTGAGGTAAAAGGAATTTTTAGAGTAACATTTTGGAAGCTTCCATCATCTATTCATTTGTAGAATAAATACTATGTTCCTGGCCCTGTCCAAAGTATTGTAGGTTTGGAGAAATGAATGGCCCTGCTTTCGAAGTGTATGTGATTAACTGTAGGTGACAGATACATAAACAGTGATCAGCAAGCTGACTTCTGCTTCTGCTACTAATCTGCAGTGTGATTTTTAGCAGGTAATTTAACTTCTCTGGACTCTAAATCCTCAGTATAAAATGAAGTAAAATAGATGTGTCCATCTTCCTTCCTTTCCTCCCTCCTTTAGTTTCTTCATGCTTCAAGAAATTCATGTACATATATGTCTTGAGCAACTACTAAGTGCTAAAATGAGGGACATGCAGTGCTTCCCAGGAGGACTCAGCTCAGAGGGGCTGACAGACATTTACATGACTCACTATATGAAGCCACTTGTCCAGAGCTATGTATCCAGGAGTGGCAGAGCCAGGATCTGAAGCCCAAGTTAGCCCGTCTCTGAGGTCTGTATCTCCCTGACTACTGGGGGTGGGGTTGGGGGGGGGCATTCCTCCAGCACTGGCTTTTCAAATTCCGCACTTGATGGGTGCCTTGAGGCAACTCAGACCTATGGAGCAACAATACTGAGATCCCTGTGCAGTCACCGTGGACGGTGACTCAAGCTGCTTAAGCAGTAGGCTCAGTAAGTGTCCAGGAGGACATATAGGGGCCATGTCCCTCCTGGCACTGATGAGTCTGGCATGGTAAGAGCACCTGGTAAGTAGAACAGTCACAGGGCAGCTAATAAGCTATAGCCCTAATCGATCCCATAATGGGCCCAGTAAAGAAAGGCTGAGCTAGTAACATTTGCCTTGGTAGGGATATTATTTATGTCTCCAGTTGGTTAAAAGAACTCATGCCACGGGAAGGCCCACAAGCACGCACACATAAAATCGTACAATTGAAGAAACTAGCAGGCAGCTTCCTACCCAGAGACAAAAGCAGTGTTTCTGGCCAAGATAAATGAATAGGGCTTTCCTCACTCTATTTCTGCTCCTGGCTCTGCCTCTTGACTAGCCTTGTGAATTTGGAAGAATCTCTTAATAACCTCTCAGCTTCTCAGTATTCTTGGGGTCAGTCGAAGGTTCTGGACTATGAAGTACCTTCATCTGTAAAAAGATGCATGTTTGAATGCTGCCACACACTGGTGAGGCCCCTCTTGCCGGGCTTCTTCCATCTCACCGTCCCACCTTGTCACTGCTCCTTGCAAGGATGGGCTCTGGGGTCTGAAAGGCCTGCACGCGTGCACCCCACTCTGTCACACATGCCCGTGAGGCCTCGCCTCGGCCTCCTCGGTCACACTGTGGAGACGAGAGTGGCTGCCTCCTATGGAGACTCCTCGTGCCTCCTTCACCCCTGCTCTTCCCCAATGTGTTCTTCTTGGGAAATCTTTTGTGTCCTCATGGTTTCAACTACTGCTTGCTTGTTGGTGGCTCCCAAATCAAGAACTCTAGGCCCTAACCTCTGCATGAGCTCCAGAAATCCTTCTTAACTGCAAACAGACATTTCCTCTTAGGTGTCCTACAGAGGTGTGTCCCTTCCTCCCCCTTCCCATGCTCAGAGTGGAGGTCACCACCTTATTCCCAGTCCTGCTCTGCTCTCAGGTCCTCATCCTGGTGAAAGTACCGCTGTTATCCAGGCATTCAGGCGGCAGACTTCTTTCTCCAGCATCCCTTAGACTCAGTCTCTTACCAAGTCTTGCTGATTTCCTCCCAAATAGAACTTGAAAATGCCCTTCGCCCTTCCCACTCCTCAGGACTACCTTGCTCTCCTCGTAGGACAGCAGGGGCTCTCAGGCACAGAAGTCATGAACATAGAAAGTCACACAGTCTGTGAATGCTGAATTAACTATGTTGACTTTTAGAGAAAATTCTGCCGATACAAAACATCACTACATTGGAAGACATTCCAAAAAATTATTATAGAGCCCTCCTCTTGGATGGCTTGTCCTGGTTCACTCCCTAATGTGGGGTGCAGAAAGCAGAGAGTTACCTTTTGCTGGCTCCTGTGCCCTTTCGTGCCTCTGGGTCTTTGCACGAGCTCTTCTCTCTCCCTGGAGCACCTTCTCCCTGCTTGCTTTGCCTACTTAACTATTTCTCATCTGTAAGACTAAGCCTTGGCCTTCCCCCTACCCAAGAGTACCTCCCTCTGTGTTCCAAAGTACCCTCAGGGCACATTTCTGCCCTATCACACTGTAACTGTCCCTTTTTTTGTCACCCCAGTGGACTGTGAGTGACCAGTAGGTAGGAATTGTACTCTACTCATCTCTGTGATCCTAGCACAGGACCTGGCACAGAGGACAGCTAAAAACTGTCCAATGGATGACACAATGAAAAAAGAAAGAATGTGTTGGCACATGGCCTGGGACACCAGCAGATGAACCCCTAGTCCCCTAGCAAAGTCTTCTGGATGTCAGTTTTGATGGTCAACAGCATCAAAGCCTTTCAGCTCGTCTTGGAACTGCAGGATCAGTTAAGAACTGACTGCAAAACAGGTATTGATCCAAGATTCCCTTTGGACCTTGGGTCTCTCACTCTCTCCATCTGTCATCCAGAGGGAGCAACAAAACTTTGCTCATAAAAATTCCAAATGCTTTGGACAGCAGTTTTATAAATATGAGTACCTGAGGCTGCTTCTCTGCCTCCCCTGATAATCCATCGGAAACCTTTGATGCTTACCTTCTTGGCCTCCTCCCACGCCCACCCACCCAAATGTGGCCCTGAAGAGCCCTGGCTGGAGCTGGGGCCCTTGGACTCACCCTCCATCAAAGGGGTTCTCCCCGGGGATGATGTGCGTGCTGTCCCTGCCCACGAGGAACTTGATTCGGTCATAGAAGGAGTGTAGGTTCTGCTGGGACACAGGGACCTGTGTCTCCTGGATGATGTCCAGAGGGTCGGGGGAGCCCAGGCACAGCGGGTTGACATGACAGAGGGGCTGGAGGCAGCAGTCAGGGTCCATGCAGTCCACCAAGCCATCTGCAGGGGTGACAGAACATGTGGTTTTCATTGTTATGTCCAATCAGCCATGTTTATCCAGAATGCCTTCACTTATTTCTTCTCTATTTTCCACTCACTGAAAAACTTTATTAAATGTGGATATAAGCCAAGGCCTTTGCTGGGCACCAAAGAGATCCAGGTGACTAAAATCTGGTCCCAGCCCACTAGTCTAGTAGGGGACACAGAGAATTGAGTGTATAGTGCCTGTACTGCATTTTTTTTTCCTTCCAAAAAGATAGAAGGAATTGCATGTAGGAAGGCCCAGAGGTGAGACAACACATGAACATCTGAGTTGCTAATTCAATGCTGGTGCTCAGAGGCGAGTGGCAGAGCACAGAATGCTGCTGCTGAGCTTGGCAGGAGCTCACCACGCTGGGCCTTACGGGCCAGGTGAGGGAGTTTTGAACTTCACCCTTGGGACAATGGGAACCACTGATTTTAAGCAGGAGGTGACTTCATCTGGTGTGCGCTGTTGAAACTGAAGGGGGTCCAAAGTGGAATCTGGGGGCCAGACAGGAGGCGGGGTGTCCCTGAGGTTGCACAAGTGAAAATTAAAAGTTGATTAGACTACAGTAGTAACAGCAGAGATTGAGAGGAGGAGATGGCTTTGAGAGGCATTTAGGAGGTAACACTACAAGGCCTGGTGACTGCCTGGCTTGGGGTGGGGGAGGGGCGGCGTGGGTGCTGCGGTGCAGTCGAGTGGCCTGAGGCACCGTCCTTGGCTCTTTGGAGGCCTTCTCTGCCTTTGGTGATAGGGACCATAGGGGTGTTGGTACGTTCTGAGTTTGCCCATGGTTTCAGATCTCTGATGAAGTTCCCATTAGCAGGGACTTCTCTCTACCACGTGACTGGATTTCTTCAGGACTGAAGAAAATTGTATTAAAGCTCTACCCTCTTCCCAAAGTGCAAAGAAGGAAATTCCACCACATCACAGATGTTAGGTCTCATTATCCCAAAGTACTTTTATAGGCACCTAGTAGAATAGCTTAAAATGGATAACAAACCCACAGACCAGCAGACAGAGCCCAAAGTAGGGGACAGGAAAAGCCTGGGGTTACGGTCCATGTGCTTCGTAGGCATGGAACAGTCTAAGATGTGTATTTCTGCCTGCATTTGATTCTGGCTCTACTGCTTGTTAGCGGTGTGACTTTATGCAGACTTTCCCTCCATCCTGGAAGCACAAATCTGTTCTGGTCACCTTTGTTGTATCCTCAGCAGTTAGTAGAGGTGTTTAAAACATTACTGTTAAATAAATAAATAAATGGAAATTGAATGAATTAGATAACAAATGAAGCAGGGGATGAGATCAAATGCAGGTCTGCAAAAGCCAGAAAACGGTATCTTCGTCCCACTGCAGCAGTGTGGCACGGTGGGGAGCTCCCGGGGCTCAGAGGCTGAAGGTCAAGACCCAGCACTGCCCCCAAGAGAGGCCCCGGACACACTCCTGGACGCAATCTCTCTGAGCCCTGGTCTCATCGGTGACGGGGGTGTGACACTGATATACTCACCTCTCGCTGTCCCCATGGGGTTTACAACATAGCTGTTAGCCACCAGAGTGCTGCATGTGCCTCGGCTAGACTCGGTGGCCCTGATCCTTCCTAATAGCTGGGTGGCCTCAGGTAAGGTACTTGACTGCCCTGAAACCCAATTTTTTCCTTAATAAATCAGTGAGAAAAAGCCTTCATCTTTCTCTCCCAGTTCTGCATGGTTCCCAACAGCTCGTAGTCTCCTCGAAGGCAGCACAGTGATAAGGAGTATGGATTCCAGAGAGAGAATGTCTGGGCTCAAATCCTGGTTCTGAAACCTACTACTGTGTGAGCTTGGGCAAGTTACTTAACTCTCTAGCCTGAATGTCCCACGTCGCTTAAAGGGGGGTAACACAAGTATGTTGTCTACGTAACAAATATAAATATTTGTTATACAGAGTACAGCATTATGTCCCCAAACCTAGCGCAGTATCTGACACGTGGTATCTGGCATTTACTGCCTAATAAGGGATAGTTTCCCTTCCCGATCCTGAACCTAGCAGATGGTTCACCAAAATGAAAGGCCATGCATCCTTTGCTCACCTGCCAGATTCACTCTGAGATGTTGGGGGAAGGCCTTCCTTTACCCTGGCATTGTTCTGAGTCCTAACTTGTGGCTCCCGTCCCAGCTCCCAGACACAACTGCCTAGCAAAGCACCTGTCTTCTCCTGCAGTCGGCAGGCTCCATCACACATTCCCGTGCTGCCCCTGCCAGACATTGCTTAAACACATAATTACAGCGCAAGCTGAGGGTTATTTGCATTCCGCTATTGATGTTAGCATGACAGATTCAGCTGCCGCATCCATAACTCTGCAAAAATGCTCCATTATTCAATCCCAGCGAGCAGGGACGTTGACCATTAAATCAGCTAGCACAATTGAAGGGCCGTGAAAAGTCATGGCTAATTTGAAATTTTATTAGCTCTTGCCTGTTCTTGTTTACCACTAAAGCAGTCCCTGGAAGCCAGTCTTTTACCTCTTTATAAACGCTCTGCTCTGTGGCACCTGGAAAGAACTGCTTCCCACTGAGGAGAGATGTCTGCTCTCTGCCCTGGGAGAAGGTTAGCCAGGAATGACACTTGTTATTATTAATATCTATATTAAACTGATGATGATTCACTGCAGCATTTATTGAGTGCCAGGCATTGTGCTATCTTATGAGCCACATGGCATTGAGTCCTCCCAGCCCTATGAAGTAGCCACTGTCATCACCCTCATTTTAGAGAGGAGGGGGCAGAGGCGCAGAGTGGTAAAGTCTCTTGATGAAGGTCACATGGGCAGAAGTGAAGCTGACTCAGAATTTAAACTTGGTTCTTTCTGAGGTATGAAATGTTCTTTGAGCTCTGGAGAGACTTTCAGGAACTCCTAAGTGGAAGACATGAACTTATGAATCTTACTGAAACAGTATGCCACACCACGGACCCTTTAATTGAGATGTCTTTTGTTAGTTCCAGAAAGTTTGGTTCTAAGCTCTTTGAATATTCCTCTCTCCCTTTCTCTCTCGTCTTTTCTTCAGGAATACTGCTAAATGTTTAAGGGGTCTTCTTGCATCTTCCATGTCTCTCAACCTCTTTCTTAATTTCCATCTTCTTGTCTGTGTTCCATTCCAATGTAGTTCTTCAGATCTATATTCTCCTTCACTTATTTCCCTTCATTTGTGATTGGTCTGCTGTTTAATTTGTCCTTTGGGTCATTAATTTAAATTATCATACTTTAAAATTTCTGGATAGTCTAATTGGAACTCTTCAAAATGTGCCTCTTTCTTTTTTTTTGAGACAGAGTCTCACTGTGTTGCCCTGGCTAGAGTGCAGTGGCGTCAGCCTAGCTCACAGCAACCTCAAATTCCTGGGCTCAAGCAATCCTTCTGCCTCAGCCTCCTGAGTAGCTGGGACTACAGGCATGTGCTACCATGCCCGGCTAATTTTCTATATATATTAGTTGGACAATTAATTTCTTTCTATTTTTAGTAGAGATGGGGTCTTGCTCTTGCTCAGGCTGGTTTTGAACTCCTGACCTTGAGCGATCCTCCCGGCCTCCCAGAGTGCGAGGATTACAGGCGTGAGCCACCGTGCCTGGCCAACCTGTTTCTTTCTTGATAGTATTTTTTTCTCCACAGTTTCTTATATTATCACTTTAGTCATTTAAAAACATTCACTTTATAGTCTCTTCCAGATTGTTAACTTCTTGAGCATGGTACTCCTCTTGTATGGTGTAGCTGTTGACTCCAGCTTATGGTCAATCATTTCTGGCGTGTTCTATGATTTTGACTGTTAGTTCTAGGGTGGTGCCTTTTCTATGGGATCTTGTGTGGCTGAAGTGGTTGAACCACCCTCCTGAATGGTTTCCTGATTACTTCTGCTTGCTACCCCAGAGGTACCACTTTTCAGGTTGATATCTTAGAGTTCTAGGACCACTCTGGTATATAAGTTTGGATTTCAAGATCTTTTGAGGTGTAGGCTTGGTCTCTCAACAATATTTTGGTCCTACTCTCATATGACTTGCAGTCTTTGAGGGTCCTAGCTTTTCGTAGTGCCTCAGTTCCAATCCCCCACCTTGAGTGTGCCTTGTCTCCTGACTCTATGAATGTATTACATGCTAAGAGTCTGTCTTACTGGATCTGATAATCCCCCATCTCCACCAGGGCTGCCGCAGCTTCAGCTCCTGTGCCTCCTGCTCTGGCTTTTGGCTTCATGTTGTTTCTGGAATCTGGGGTTTCCCTGATCTTGCTTTTCTTTATGCTGAATTTTAAAGACAAATTGTTGTACCTTGTGATGCCCTAGGTGACCATTATTCTTGAAATAAAAGTCCCAGCAAGAGCTCTGAGTTTCAGTTCTTCCATCTGTAAAATGAATCAAACCTACTTCACAGAGATGCTGTGGGCATTAGGCGAGATCATGGATGTGAAGCACTTAACATGATAACTAGCACCTCAGTAAGTACTTGGTAGATAACAGTTATTATTAGCTTCTGGCCAGATGCCTCCCTTGAACCAGGATCCAGGTAACAGACCTGCCCTTTGGCCCTACCCTGGACCCTCCCATGCATGCATCACTGGGCAGGCCTTTCTGGACACAGTGCCCTGTAAACTACTGTAGTAGAGACCTCAGGGTTTGCAGATTAGGGTCCTCTGAAGTGGAGATGCCCCACACACTGTGTTCTTACGAGAGACTGTGGAATTGTTTTGCAGGTTAGAGTGATTAATGCCCGGCCAAAAATTCTGTTTGTTTATGTTGACGCTTCCTAATCATTCCTTTAACAAATATTTGCTGAGTAGTAAAAGTGGCGAAACTTCCACTGATATAGGCAATCATACATAAATGAAATACATATTTTTAAAATGAGTAGAGCTCACAAAATTGTTTTCAAAGCCTGCAGTTTACAAGACCGGCTTTTGTGTAAAACCCTCTTCATATTTTCGGAGGTAGCATATGGCAGCCTCAAACAGTACATATG